CAGCCGAGATACAACCAAATACGATTCTATAACCTTATCGTGCATGAGCCTTATCGGTTCGTGATTAAGAGAGGACCAGTGACGTAGTTCATTTACTCTGCACCAAACCGAATAAAGTAGCGCTAATATTCAGTATATATATATATATATATATATATATATTTCAAATATTTTGTCATTTTGGTAGAAACTTTGGAATTAAAACTTTATGAGAGAAGAAAATGTGCCTTATGAGGTTATGCCTCCCTTTTTTACGTTAAGTGTTTTAATGTAGACGAGGCAACGTAATTTATTTCGGTAATCTCTTCCTTCACTTCGCTTCGTATTTGCCCCAAAAACTCTAAAATGAGAATACTTTGGAGACCTAAGCACAGGTAGGATGATGATATTAAAATGGATAAAAAATATAGGATATTGGGTTGCAGGCAGAATTAAATTGAGTCGATACAGGGATGTTGCACACACGGTAATGAGCCTTCGAATTGCATTCATGGTGGTAAATGTCTCGATTTACTAAGCGGCTGTTACATCCTCAAGAAAATAATCCATTAACTTAGCCAGTTACAGATTCTGTCCTTTTGGCGCAACTGGTTCCAAGAAACCGATTGCAAGCAGACAGTCGTCGGAAACCGGTCGCACTGAAACAACTGACAAAAGAATTCGTAACAAACACGTAATAAACGTACCAACCTCAATACACGCTGACCCCACTGTTGTTATGTGATTACATAACTGAACCAGGTGAGGAACCAGTTCGATAACTCGCAGCTACATTTCTGAAGATCGTTGAAACTGACTTTAAAAGGCGTCGATGAGAGAAATCTTATATATATATATATATATATATATATATTATTTATTATACTGCAATTGGGTTTTAGCCCGGTGGCAGTAGTACACAATAGGACACAACAGACAAGTAACACACATTACACTAAGTGACAACACGTTCAAACAAAAAACAATACACAAAACACAACAATAAGGACATCCTACCACAATGAATACAAACCAAATACGATTAACAACTACAACAATTACAGAGAAATACAAACAACTGCAACAAATACAACAACAATTACACAGAGAGTAAGAAAAAAAATACAACACCCACTTATAGTAAGTACGGCAGAATTGCAAATGGATCGTACATTGCATATTACGTTTTCTTTGCTGTTGGTTGTACATGTGAGAGAGCAGCCTTACAATCAACAGTTGTTACTTCTCTTGACAACATTAACCGTCTGGTCTTTGCAGACACTGTACCGTAAGAGCTGAATTTTTAACGAATAGCACCACCACCACAACCACAAGAAGAGGAACAAGAACAACAAGAACAAGAACAACAACAACAACAAGAACAACGTTAGATTCTTATAGGCAGATTTCTTAATTGTTACAACCGGTGGATACCTCAGACTTCTAGCCACGAACATATGAGAACATATCGACATCCGACCAGAACGAGTTAAGACTGCTGTGTGTGTGGAATACGCTGATCAAAACTTTAACATACATAAAACACAAAATACACTTTTACAACGAAATGAGAAGACGGAGTATAAAATAATCAAGACGACAGAAAGGAGAATGAGGGCATAAAGAACAAATTAACACATGAAAGAGAGAAAGAGACAGAGGAGAAATATAAATAAATAAATCAAATATGAGAGCATTTGCACATTTAAGCGTATTAACGTATACGACATGATGAAAGAGGATACCAAAATGACACAAATAACTAAATAATAAAACTCGCATCTGCTGACTGGCAAAAGACAAATTGGGGCAATTATTCATGCTCGACCATTATTGATGCCTTATGGCAATTTCACAGAAGGCTGCAAAAAGACTGCAGACAACTTCTGATGTCTCTCTGGTGCTTCAAGAATGAAAGGGAAATAAGTTACTAGTTAATTTAAAGAAAACTAATAAACTGAAATACTGAATAGTTCAATACATGCAAGAAGAAAGCAAAGTGAAGTAAATATGGTACACACACATGTAGGGTCTGTTTAATTATTTGGTTATTTACTTATTGCGTAAGTATATAAATTATAAATTATGGTAACCCTGATGGGCGCATGGAAGTCATCGTGGAAAGACAAAATATTTTTTCAGAAAACGAGCTCACGAAAAAAGTTTGTGCTCTGGGTGACATGAAACAACGCAGTAGTCATACAATGACGTCACTACTGGTGGAAGGGGACAGGAAAATGGTGGACAGGCTGACGCATACTGACGGCTTGGCACTTTTTTTTTATTTTGACAAAATTTACTGGATATATCAAAACACGGTATTAGGTTTTGAATACATTAATTCCAAAATTCCTAAACACAACATCCATTTAGCTAAGTATGTGGATATATTTAAATGATCATGAAAATAATATCTCACTTTAATTTATTATCGGTTTTATTCAGCGGCGGTTTCAATAAATCGTATTACATAACTTCAAGTCACAGAATGAACAGTAAATAGAGACTGAAACGAAAAGTGGAGGAATCCGTGACCTAATCCGAGGCAAAATCCTGGAAATATCACAGAGGGACTGAGGGAAACCACGGAAAATATCTGGATACCGCGTTTCCGGGCAAAGATATGAATATGGGACATACAAAATACAAAGATGTGCTGACTATCCGAATACATTTCGATCTTAATCCTGTTAAATGCGGAGCGGACTGCCTACTTTCATCCGTCACATGTCTAATATATTTGCAGAATAGACTCTAGGTTAAATAATAACGGGCTGATGAAGTCGGTGTAGCAGAGGCCTCTAGGCTACATATTTTCTTTTGTTGTATCATCTTACTTGATGGATTGGAGTCAAAACAGGGACGGTATAATCATTTTGCATTAAGAAGTTCTGAGAAGAACCAACCGCCTGCTACGACAAAGATTACATAAAAAACAAAAATGGGGGACATACACAGACACTAATGTCATCTCATAAGCCGCTTAAATAAAATTAGGGTGGGGGGCACATACAGGAAGGTGATTCTACAAGCCCCATCAGCCTCAAAAGACTAAATATTAGAGGAGATATACAGACAGATGGAAAGACACGGACTGATACACAGAAAGGCACAGACGGCTATACTCGTACAGAGACACAACAGGGTGATCGCATAATCCTCATTTTATTTTTTCAAAATAAGGAAAACTAGGCTAAAAATTAAGATACCTATGACCAAATAGGTAGAATATTTTTATCTGTCACCAACGGTATTAGTTTCGCCACGAAATACTCGTAATGATTGAGGAGGATACTGATTGAAGAGGAGGCAAAAGGGACATTGAAGGATGCCGTCTTCTGGGATATGGTGCCGTGTAGATATTGCGTAAAGCGACGTTTCGGAGAAATATATCGCCTCCATCTTTAGGGCAGAATAAGCCGAACAAGATAGGGGCGTCAACACATGTGGCAAGAAGATGGTACTCGCCTAGAATAATATTTGGGCCTAAGAGGGAGGAAGCAATGGGAGACTGGAGCAAGACGCGTATTGGCAAGCTTCACAGACTATAACAATAATAATAATAATATGATTGTGTCTCTAGAGCTCTTTGTTGGGCCTTGGCCTCCTTTTCAGTTTCCTGATCCTGTACACAGTCGATAGGACTCCTTGGACGGAGATCAGACAGTTGCAATACCTCTACCTACATACAGCAGAATACAAAAAACAGAATAAACGCACACAATACAGACATCCGTGCCTTTATTGGGATTCGAACATACGATCTCAGCTTTCGAGCGTGCGAAGACAGTTCATGTCTTAGACCGATCGGCCTCTGTGATCGCAGAATGTAACTAGAAATACTAAATCAAGATGGATGAAATGTGTGAAGTCTATAGCAGACATGAAGATGTAAAAAATGTATACAAAGATCTGTTAAGAAGAACTGAAGAGACGAAACAACTTCAAAGGCGTCGAGGGGAGGATAATATTAAAATAGATCTTAGAGACACAGGACGGAACTGTATTGCCTGAATTCTTAAGGACCACCGAAGAAATATTTTTTTTTAACGTGGCAATGACCTTTCGGATTTCTTGGATATTTATCTGAGCGAATATTATCTCCTGAAGGAGAACACCGCATGGAACTGTTGTTTAGGTTACAGGCCCGTTGTTATAGAGAACTATGTGTGGGTGAAGATACAGAAAACAAGATTAGTAAGTTTTGAGAAGGAATGTTCTCTGACATTAAGGGAGGAACATAGACTGAGGGTGTTTGAGAACAGGGTGTTGAGAATATTTGCACCGAAGAGAGATGAAGTGACAGGAGGTTGGAGAAAACTGCATAATGAGGAGCTTCATAACTTGTACTCTTCTCCAAGTATAATTAGAATGATAAAGTCAAGGAGGATGAGGTGGGCAGGGCATGTAGCACGAATGGGGGAGACGAGGAATGCGTATAGGATATTGGTGGGAAAGCCAGAAGGAAACAGACCACTGGGAAGACCAAGACGTAGGTGGGTGGACAGTATTAAAATGGATCTTAGAGAGACAGGATGGGATGATATGGATTGGATTAATTTGGCTAAGGATAGGGACCAGTGGAGGGCTCTTGTGAACACGGTAATGAACTTTCTGTTTCCATAAAATCCTGGGAAATTTTTGAGTAGCTGCACAATTAGCGGCTCCTCCAGAAGGGCTCAGCTCCATGAGTGAGTAAGTAAGTAAGTAAGTATGTTCTGGAATATTATTGAAAGAACTCAAAGACACATCAGGGATGCAAACTGTGGAATATTATTTTGTCAGTTTACTTATTAACCAACAGAGGTCTCTACTCGTACTAAAAATATATATTATTTCGAAGCCATTATCGACGCACAATTCTCTATTTAAACATTCTCATATACATATTAGTAATGACATATATTCTGGTCTCCTTTCCGCTGATTATTCTTTATATTCCTGTCTCATAGGATGAAGCAGTAATACAAAATATGTAAGTAAGTATGTAAATATGTAATATATGGAAACAAAATACTTACATTACCACAGCGTACGGTTATCGCCTGATGTACTCCAATCACATATACCATGGTGAAAGGTACAAAAAAGTGAACAAAAAACTTCCTCTGTGTCTTTATGTAGATTTCCAACTCACGAAGTTTCCACTACACATGAGAAGTCGATAGTCAAATACAAGAGACAAATTCTAACATTTATTTTGGAGTAACAATATTTTTGCCCCCTGTTTATGTCTGTTTCAAAGCAGTTAGTTCACTGATTCAACAACAATAAACAATTCTCACGGACTTTACATACACATATATATAGAAATATAACAAAACCCGCATAAACAACAAAAACTAGAAACTTTTTTCGTATAAATTTCCCTGCCAAACATCCCGCATGAGTTTCGTCGCAGAGACTGACCGACCTACACACACATAAAAGCACAACTTTCTCAGTGTCTCTTTCCCCCCCTTCTATTTTAAAATATCTCCCTCTTTTTATTTTAATTTCACCCCTCTTGCATACAGAGTAGCACGCTTTGCGAGCAATGCATTTTACTTCATCCCTACCGAGAGAACATACAGTGTATTTAGCTTCTCTGTTTAGCACTGGCTCTTCTAACCCAATCAAAACCCCAGCTGCTATGTACGTCACCGTTCTGAGCATGTGTAGTGTACAAGACAAGACTTGTGTTATTGTACTGTGCTCAAAAAAGAAGGAGGGGAGGGGGGGGTGTTCTGTAGCCATCGATCTCCCATCAGTATGACAGCAGTGAGGAAAAACAGGAGGAAGGGATCATGCCTGATGCTAGGACAGGCACAATTTATTCCACCCATCAGAGTTCCACGTGTCGCGATGATAATGGTGATAAGTTGTAATACTGTAGAATGACAAGTGACGAGCGGGTAGCGCACTTTTAACAGAGAAAGAACCGTCTGATATTCATATTAACCCAACGTTCTAAACTATCCTATACTTTCACAAATGATTCTGTATAACCTCAAAACGAATATTGTGGTAAAATGGGTAGCAGCCAAGGTTTGTTGTCACGAAGTTCCGCGTTTATATCTCGGTCTGGAGTCCTATCTATCTATGGTTCTACAGTCCTTTTGTCGGACTTTTTCCGATTTTCAGTTTAGTAATCCTATACGCAGTCGGTAGGCTCGTCGTAGGGACTCCATACACACACAGAACAAAACAAACACAGAATAAACGCAGAAATTCATGCCTCGAGAGGGATTCAAACGCATGATTCCCGTGTCCGAGCGGGCGAATACAGTTCATGCCTTAGACTTCGCGGCCACTCTGATCGGTCGGCCTAGAGTCCACCCAATGTTTTAGTCCATCGATATTACCTCAAATTACAAAATGACCCCTTCATTCCAATGCTTTTTTTCCCTTGGCACTACAGCCCCAGTGGGCCTAAGCCTATCTCCATGAACTTCTCCGTTCACTTCGGTTTTTCTAGATCTTACACATTCGGTATGGGTCCTTAGGCGGGTGATCAGCTCGTCGCAAGGCCTCTACCTGTACACAAACACAGAAAAACGCACACACACAAACAAAACATCCATGCCTTGAGTGGGATTCGAACCTACGATCCCGGTTTCCAATCGAGCGAAGACAGTGCATGCCTTAGACCGCTCGGCTACCGTGACCAGCCATTCCAGTGCTTACTGATCATAATACCGTTCCACATTCTTTGGTCCGTGATATTGTCGGCGCGGTTAGAAATATATACGTCTTGTGATAGAGTAGGCAAGTAGCATACAGGGTAGTGTAGCTGTGATGCACCTGATTCATATTCCGAAAGAGCTGGCATATGAATTTCTGCGTGGGCTCCGTCTATCCTTACTCAGTGTTTTCGTGGTCTTCTTCAGTCTCCCACCAAAATATGAGGACACGATTGCTTCCTTCCAAATTCATCACTCATATGTCACCCTGCCATTGGATGCTATATAATCCACACACTCATAGCGTCCTCAGTATTCCACAGAAAACAAATATATGAAATTGGTAGAGTGTCTTTAAATTAACTAAGATTATAAACTATTCGAGCAAAACCAGGAACTAAATCCTGGATATCACCATCTTGTCTGTGAAAAGCGTTGAATTCTGGACTCGAGTCTATATACTCGTATGTGTGTGTATATATATATTCATATTGAATAGAATTAATATTATAATGTTCAGGGAATGCATCCTGTTGTATGAATATATCGTTTGTATATATCCGCCAACACAGCAATCAGATAAACAACTCATTTCCATACTTCCACATTTTGTACTGTAAGTTAAATAAACTCAGTTGACACAATGACGTATATATGAAAACGATATAATATTATAATCNATTATAATAATAATAATAATTAAATTCAAGTCTTTATTATTTATGTGCCCAGTCAACAGCCGCAAGGCCAATTACAGATACAGCACAGTGTAGATACAGGTAATTACGTAATGGACAAACACAACATAAAGAAAATAGCCACATAATAATTCAATTCAAGTCTTTATTATTTATGTGCCCAGTCAACAGCCGCAAGGCCAATTACAGATACAGCACAGTGTAGATACAGGTAATTACGTAATGGACAAACACAACATAAAGAAAATAGCCACATAATAATTCAATTCAATTCTAGTTTATTTACGAGCAATCTAACAGCTCAGAGGTATATTACAAAATTAACATGAGTAGATGGAAAGGCACAAAATAACAAAAAAACAAAATGCAAAATAAGACAGTCTACATAATAGTAATAAATTAAGAGTAATTCAAAGAGAAATTAAAGTTAGCATTAACAGGCGAGAAAAGTTAAATAAGTACATTTCCAAAGGTTATGCCATTAGGTGGCAAGAAAGGACTTTATATGCTACACGTACATACACATAGACGTTAATAACAACAATTAAACAATAAGTCCTTGCTTATTTGTGTGATAGTTAGTTATTGGAGAGGGTGGGTTTCCCCATGCACTGAGACCTGTATTGGTCCATTGTGCTTCCCTCTATGATTTATACCAGTCTCTATATCCTACCGGTACTGGTGCTTACCATCAGTCCCGCCCAGCCAGCGAGACCGGCTCTGCTAGCTGAGAGGTATCTACATAATGCTTCCCCCACCTACCAGAGGTATTAGAGACTGCTGTTGGGCGGGAAACGTCCGTAATTTGGCTCAGTGACCTCCTTTGGAGATATGAGGTTCTTTTACGTGCCGTAAAGCTACGACACNNNNGCTTAAAGTCCCTCCCGGAGGACTTGTTCCCTGAATTTTTCCGCCCTTAAAAATTCGACGACCTCCGCCGGGTATTTGAACCCGCGTACTACGAGTCATGAGGTGGGAACGTTACCTCTAGACTACGGAGGCCGCTTATTTGTGTGATAATTCAACATCCAAATAATAATAATAATAATAATAATAATAATAATAATAATAATAATAATAATAATAATAACAATTATAACACACTCTTATTACAAAAAGCTATTGAGGAGAAATATCCGGCTCCGAATGCGTCAGCGTCCCTGCAAACAACATTAGCAGTTGATGCACATCTTGCAGAGAGGCAATTTTTACATGGGGAGCAGATATTGAACAATGTAAAGTCTCTGTTATACCGATCACGAACTCTGAGACCAACAATTTCCAAAACGGAAGGGCAGAATTTCAAACCAAAGTAAACTTGAGAAAGAAAGAAAGCTTCAAGGTGATGTCTCCTCATATGTAAAGTGTGCAATTCCAACTCATCTTTCACCCTTGCGTGCTACATGCCGCGCTCATCTCATTCTTCTTGATTCTATCAAACTAATTATACTTAGCTGATCACAGTGGCCGCGCGGTCTAAGGCATGAACTGTCTTCGCTCGCTCAAATACTACGGTCATGGTTTCGAATCCCACTCTAGGCATGGATGTCTGTTTTGGTTTATTCTCTGTTTGTGCTGTCCTGTGTGTAGGTAGGGGCCTTGCGACGGGCTGATCCCCAGTTCAAGGAATGCTACAGACTGTGTAAAGGATCGAAAAACTGACAAAGCGGCCAAAGTCCAACAAAGGGCTGTAGAGCTATAGAAAAATAGATATGCTTAGCGAAGCGTACAACTTACGAAGCTCCTCATTATAGTTTTCTCCAATCCTCTTCGGTCCAAATAATCTCCTCAGCACCTTGTTCTCAAGCACCCTGTGTCTATGTTCTTCTATTAATGCCGCAGAACAAATTTCACACCCTTACAAAACCACGGGAAAAATTATAGCTCTCTATATTCTAATTTTTACCGGTCACGGTGGACGAGCGGTCTAAGGCGCGTGCTGTCTTCGCTCGCTCGGAAACCGGGATCGTGGGTTCGAATTCCACACAAGGCATGGATATTTGGTGTGTATATGCGTTTATTCTGTAGTTGTGTTGTCCTGAGTTTAGGTTGAGACTTTGCGATGAGCTGATCACACGTCTAAGGAGTCCTACCGCGTGTAAAATGATCATGAAACTGAGAAATCAGCTTTATGCTCCAAAGTGAGAGCACAATAGACGAGAAGACAAAGTGTGACTTCATACCAGTGATAAACCATGAACTACTCTGAAAGAGCGACTACAATTTGTTAAGATACGCAGTTGAGAGATATGACTTCATTTTATATTTCCCATAGACGGACTGAAGCAGTAGCAGCTTGTTTCATTTTTCGTGCTGAGAGCTGTACGGAGCACTGGTCAGTATCTCGCCCTAATGAGCAGCCATCGGGCTATGGGGAATGTATCAGGGACCCGGGGTGCTCTTTACGGAGTTCAGTGACCGTAACGTGTCTCTCACGCACACAGGAAACACAAAAAGAGTTGTGTCCCCGTTGTCTCTGTAAGTTCAGCAGTGCATATTGTATACAAAGTTTAAATTAAAAAGTAACATACATTTCGGCGTAATTATAGAAACCAGAACGTGTAGCTGGGAAATATTTCTCCGCTTTCATAAAGGATTAAAGCGACAGCTGGAGGTGGAGGCGGTGATGTGATCCAGAGACTGTAAAGGCAACTTTGAGTTTCTTCAGTTATGGTATCTACCAAAAACAATTCCTGAGTTCCAGTGCTGACACTGTACTGATGGCGCAGAACTAGTAATCGAAGCTGCTGTCCATTAACTACATTCGGGATGCGCGCGCAACTTGTGTCATCGAAACTGTTTTTGAGTCCACGATTACGCTGCTAGTACCAGCATTGTCATATCCTTTTCCGTTCCTGAGTTTCAGGTGTCTGAGAACCGTATTATTTTTGGACGACTTTGAAATTAAGGATGTGTAAAATGTGAGCTGACGAATTGCCTCGGAATTATGGGTGGGGACGGACGCATGAGAAAGTTGTCTCAACTTATTTCTTCTTCTTCTTCGCTCCCACTTTGGAGGAAACGGGTTAAATTTTATTAATAATTTTTACAGACGGTAGGACTCCTTGGACGGGGGATCAGCTCGTCGCAAGGCCTCTACCGTAACACAGGACAACACAAACACAGAATAAACGC